ATATTTTTAAAAATTCTTTGAAAAAAAAATTTATAAGGATAAAAAGATATCGAGGAATCCAAGATAAATGAAAGAGGTCGAAACGAACAGCGAGAATTCCTATGTATCGTAGATGAATGAAACGAAATCTTTAATAACACAGTTCTCTTTTTACAGTCATGATTCAAGTTTCGCCATGTTACGCGTGCCTCGAATTACACGATGAATCGAAACCAGTTCGCCGTTTCATACACGATTAATCTTCGACACGAAAGCGCCTCACGCACTTTTCATTAGAAATAATCCTAATTGATTTCCTCTCCAACGAGGCTAATCAACATTCTACATCTTATCTCACGTGGATAGAATGCAAACAAGTATGACGTAAGTACCGCAAACGACATTCTTACATTATCGTGGAAATATATTCAATAAATTATTTATAAATCACTAATTATCCTGTTATGCTTTTTATATTATTCTACTTATAAAATTAATCCACGACTGATAAATTTAATTTTAGTAACGTCATGTGAATCTTATGTAATGTTTAATATTTGTTTTAATTTATTTGTTCGCAGAAAAGTCTCCTTAAAAGGTAATAAATTACATTTAATGTAAAAAAAAAAAAAAAAAAAGATTTTTAATAAAAGTATCGATCCAAAAGTTTCTAGCAGATTGTAATTTACACGATTGTTTTTTAAATCGTTGCACGTGCATAGTTCATGATTTATGAATGATTTCGATGAAATTCCGACTTGTTTAAATATCTCTAATAGCACGAAGGAATTAGAATCTATTCTTAAGTGCACAAAGCGTGCAATATTACTGGTGAGCAACTAGATATATTCGTATATTGCAAACATCTAAATACTATGTAAAGGTAATCTAGTAATATTATCAGACGCTTGGAGAATTCTAACCAGACACCTGCGAAATGTAATCATCTTGTCGTAAATAGTTTTATTACTCTGTATTATAAATATATTACGTATTCACATCTAAGAAATTCAATATAGAAATCATCTTAAACTATTATCTATCCATTTACCTATACTATACATAATTTAAATATTATTCGTGAACGATTTAAATTTAAATTTGAATTTCAGGATAATTATAATTTATTCTACGCAATTAATCCGTTTTCTAGTAATCGAACATCCTAATTCCACTCTCTCCTGAATTTCCATTATATCTCGTTACTCTTTTGAACTTTTGTAGCCCAAACAAAAAGCATTCAACAAAATCCCAAAGTGTGCAACTGTGTACGATTCCATCAAAAAAAAAAAAAAAAAAAAAAAATTAAACCTATCTATGATTTTTGGAACGTGCACGAATGTATTACGAGAGGGTGTAACCATCCGCGTTGTGTACTCGCGTGCACTTCCTGATTTATGGACAAACTCGACGACCACAGGGGGTGTATCGCGTTCAAATATCGGAAACCGGTCCATTGTACATAGTCGGATACGTGTGTTGACGATTCAAAACGCACGTCTATGTATTCACAATATAATATTTTACCGAGAAGCTTTATGTTTGGCCAATTAAATTCCCATAAATGAACGAGAAATAATTTCTAATTATTCTAAAATAAAAATATATACAAAATTTTAAGTTTCCTTTCCATTGTAATGCCAACAACATTTTTAATTAATTTAATTTCCTTTCCCCCCATCTCTCCCTCTGTTAATTTTCAACTATCGACTTATGATTCAATTGCAACAAAAATTTCAAGCGACAATTATTATCATCTAATTCGTTTTCAACAGAGATGAAGTAAGTTTTGTTGAGAACGAAAGACGTATCATTTAACCGATGTTCGAGATAATGAAATTTAAACGAAGCATCCAGGGATAAGCGCGAATGTTCCAAAATTTCCATAAAGTTTCAACGGTACGTTGGTGCGCACGCGTAGTAACTCTGAAGGAAAATTCGTCGTCGGAAATAATTTTGGATTTACAAGTGTGACACGTGTACTCATATTTCCTTTTTGTTTCCCTTTATTTTTCGTTATTTTTCTTGTTTCTCTATTTTATTCCTTTTTTTTATTTTCATAATTGTTCCGCTTTTATTTTAGTCGATAAAACGCGGTCCCGTAATCGTGTCATTATGAAATGTCGATAACGATGAAAACAATATTATTCAATTGCATTACAAAGATGTTGAAACATATTTTAATCATTTTATGCTACATGTATAACAAAAATTCTATTGTATGAAACACACAAAAAAAAAGAATAGAAATCTTTAAAAAAAAATAAGAATAATAATATTATAATACACGTTATTCTATCCTAAAATTTATGAAATAAAAGTTTCAACCTGAGTGATTTTTTTTTTTATAAAATCACATAACGTATGATAATTCATCTACAATACAAAATTATCTATTGTATGAAAATATAAATTTAAATATCTAATAGCTAGTTTTTTCTGTAAAAGATCGCATCAATAAAATAAAATTGAATAATAATACATATATAACAAGTATAATATAGGATGTAAAAATATATGTTTAAATTATATAAAAATTCTTTTTTACAACAATACATATATATAAAGAAATGACTTTGAAGCGGAAATTATCAATGAATCATCATTAAATTTTTATATATGACAATACGCGTAACCTTGAACTACACTTCCCAACGAAAACGAAATAAATATCGATGATGGATGAACATGATATCGAAGAAGAAATACGAATTGAATTTTATTAAATAACTTAAGATACATTTTGATTAGATAAATACGCATATATATGTAAATGAGAGTTATTTATCAGAGACAAAATTCACTCTCGCAATTAAAAAATGTTGTTAGCATTTGTGACATAACCTATCTTTCTCCCTTTGACGATACACTAATCACAAAAACCCGCGCCTATTCTAAACGATAATCACGTTTTGTTTCAACAATTCCTAGTACAGGCTTGCAAATAAAATTTTATTAAAAACTAAGGATTTAAAATCATAAAACAGAAGCTAAGTAAACGCGATTCATACGCGTGGTATGGTCATTGACGCATCAGGTGTCAGTCACCTCGAAAGGGTACGCGGTCTCACGTGTGCGCCTTGTACGATCGTTCTCAAGAATAATATTGACGCACGTGTCATGATTCTAGCTATTTTCTACTATATGTTTTTGCGCAGCATTTTATTTGTATATATCGAACGACATAGAATTAAAACTCACCAGTTTTTCGTGATAAACGTATCGTGGTGGATTCTTCTTGCTCGTCCTTCGTCGTTCTCCTGCTCGTCCCTCTTTGCCTTTCACTGTTTCGCAACGTGTCAGCAGAAGAATTGATCAAACACTAGATTCAGAATAGTCACTTATCACGAATACCGTGCACGAGATTCACTATGATAAAACTAAGAAAGGCAGAGAAACATCGTACATTCGTACCGGTACAAACACACTACGAAACGCGGTACGAACACGACTGCTCCATACCGTACCATGGATCAGCTGCTACTATGGCAGCGCTACCATGGCACACGGCACGCGCGAGAACTAAGTAGTGGGGGAAGGGCGGGAACGCGCTAGTCAAGTGTAATATTGGTCGCATTTCAAGGTAGAGACTAAATCATTGATCGAAAAATGCAAATAAAAACGATTGTTTAATCGCAAATATTGTTGATTAATAAAAAAAAAAATAATAAAAAAATATTATTATATAATAATATTTTCTCTGATTATTTTAAATATAAGGATTGATTTTTATATAATAAATAATTATCTTTTTAATTATGAAAAATATGGAATATATAAAAAAAAAAAATAAAAATTCTTTAGATTGTTATAAGAAAATTTGTTCATCGAAATACTTTCTTGTATATATTTAAAATTAAAATCGTTTTTATGACTCTAATATAAACTACGTAATACATTTATTAATGTATGTGTGTCAAAACTCATACTAATATGAAAAATATGAAATATTAAAAAATTAAAAAGTATAAAATTGCAAAATTAAAATTAAAATAATAACAAAAATCGAATAAAAAATAATAAAATTAAAATTGAAAAACTTGAAATTGTGAAATACGAAATCAAAAATCCTAACCTAAATCATGAAATAAATAATAAATAAATATTAATATTCACGAATATCAAAATATTCATAATCATTATGCTTGCTATACATATTTAAAAAAATAAATCATTTATGCATGTGACTTACCGTTCGTAGATAATGGCACAGCAACAGCAATAGCAATTTCCTGTCCGTTCATAATGATAATAAAATGTATCAACACTCATAAATAAAATCATAAAACGCGCGAAATTTTTCGTCACTATTTTTTTGTTACACTCGCAAATGAATGTATTTAAAACACTTGCGAATAAATGTACATCGCGTAAATATAAATAATATTTTACAAATATAAATCAGAATAAATATTTTAAATGCGAAATACAATTAAATTAAACGAAATTACACGCATACGGTCTCGACGACACGTCTAAACGAAACAACGATCGAAGCGAAACTGACTGATGACTGGTAATTGTATCTCGGCGGATAAGGTCGAACGTCGAATGTTTGGTATATTTCGAAGCGTTTACTAAGTGATTTATATGTTATATTTCAAATATGAAATATGAAGTATTTAAATATTATAATTTTTAATATCTTATTAAAATTAAAAATTACGCACAATTTAAAAAATATTTTATATTCGGAAAAATGTTTATTTACTTAATTTTTATAAAAATTTTATTCATAAATTTTTCTTAAATTTTCATTTTAATTTATTTCTGTATATGCAATAAATGTCAATATTTTTTATTCTATTTATATTAGTTAAATATTTATATCATAAAAAAGATAGATATTGTTTTTTATAATTTTTTAAAAGATAAATATTTTAGATATATACGATATGAATATCAACTGCTATCATAGATAATCATTTATTATCTTTGTTACCTTATTATTATTACAAAATGTTAAATTTATTACAAATGTATATAAGTATATTCATATAAATATAATATATATGAATTATTATTAAGTGTATATTAATTACAAAAAGAGATACTATCAGACGAATATTGTAATTTGTAATAGGTAATGTAGCTTTTTATAAAATTATTTTTTTTTTTTGTTAATAGTATAATTTTTAAATTTTTTTGTTTAATATAATAAATTTTACTTGTAGTTTTTTTCGCATGAATTTATCTAAATATAAAGATAAGGATTTTGATTCTTTTTTGAAGATTCTTCATTGGTTGCTAAACTGCATGACATAACCTAACATTTTGTAGAAGGTGTTAGAGTTTTCCATGAAATAGCATTGAAATAAATTAAAATGGCTTCTGATTCAAAAATTTTATGTTTTCAACACTGCTGTAGAAAAAATGTATTTTGTAAAAGTGTTCCAGAAATATGTCCAATTTGTCATGTACAAATTATAGATTATAAAATAATACCTTTCCTTATTCCATATCCTTATAAAAATGCAGCATATGAACCACATTCTATAGTTGTAAAACCAGCTCATGGCAATTTTTTGAATGATTATCATATTGTAAATGACTTACATATAGGAGTAACAAATTCAGAAGGAATCGTTTTTGAATATGACAAAGTTGGTTTAGTAGTAAATGATTACTCAAAATGGATGAATTGTATTGCAATAAATATAATTCCTTCATCTTGGGTCAATCATTGGAACGAAACACTAAAAATAATGATAAAAGATCCAAAATGGAAATCTGAAAATTATGATGAAGTTTCAATGAATTGTTTTAACTTTGTCATAGAGTTTATAAATAATTTAAAATATGTGAATACAAATTTTATAGATAAAGAAACTATATGTGAAAATTTAATATTACCAAAACTTGGAGATGCACTTACATATAATTCCTTATTTATGAAATTGGAAACTACTGAATTTTTTATTTCTTAAAAAAATTCTACAATTTTCTTTATATAAATAAATATATAAATTCCTTTTTTTTGTTATATTATTATTTATGCATTTATTCATTTATATTTTAAGATTATTATATAAATATATTATGCACATATTATATAGATATATATGTAATTATTAAAATAAACAATTTAATAAATACTTAATAGATTGATTTATTTCTTTTATCCTAGGATACTTTGATAAAATGATTTATAAAAAGATTGGATTATTTTCATTAAACAAAACTTATAAACAAGGATTTCTTTATTTTCTAAGAAATATTTCATTTAACAATGATCAACATAAATTTGATGTTATTATTATTGGTGGTGGCCATGCTGGAACAGAAGCTTGTACAGCAGCAGCTAGAATGGGAGCAAAAACGTTATTAGTTACCCATAAGAAAAGCACAATAGGTATAAATTTATTTTTAGTTGTTATTTTAATATTAAAGATTATTGAATAAAAATTTATATTTTTATAGGAGAGATGTCATGTAATCCATCCTTTGGTGGAATTGGAAAGGGAAATCTTATGAGAGAAATAGATGCTTTAGATGGTGTTTGTTGTCGCATATGTGATCTTTCTGGTATTAATTATAGAATATTAAACAAATCTAAAGGACCAGCTGTGTGGGGTTATAGAGCTCAAATCGATCGTAAATTATATAAAAAACATTTACAGGAAGAACTTTTTAATATGCCTGGTTTACAAATATGTGAATCCTCTGTAGAAGATTTAATCGTACATGGAGATTCTCCAAGATGTTGTGGAATAATTCTTAGTATGTTTATTTTTTAATTGGATTATTGGTGTATTATTATTGTTGTTCAATATTATTAATTTAAAAAAAAATAAAAAATTTGTAAAAATCATATTATAGGGAATGGAACAAAAATTTATAGTGATGCAGTTGTTATAACAACGGGTACTTTTCTAAAAGGACAAATTAATATTGGTTTAGAAAAAAGACCTGCTGGTAGACTTGGGGATGAACCTAGTATTGGATTAGCTAACACATTAGAAAATATTGGATTTAGAATAGGAAGATTAAAAACTGGTAATTATATTATATTTTATTACAAATTTCAAAATTTATCTATATTATTTTTAAATATTTTTGCAGGTACACCACCGCGAATAGAAAAATCTACTATAGACTTTTCCAAATGTAATGCCCAATTACCAGATGAAGTCTCTAAACCATTTTCATTTATGAACGACACTGTCTGGTTGCCTGTAGAAAAACAATTAAAATGTTACTTAACATATACAACAAAAAAAGTAGAAGAAATTATAAAAGATAACATGCATTGTAATTTACACGTTACGGAAGAAATATGCGGACCTAGATATTGTCCAAGCATAGAAAGCAAAATTCTCAAGTTTAAGGGACATGAGCATTCAATTTGGTTGGAACCAGAAGGGCTAGATTCGCCTTTAATATATCCCGCTGGATTATCGTGTACACTTCCAGCAGAGAAACAAGAAGAACTTATTAAATGTATTCCAGGATTAGAAAATGCAAAAATGGGTACAGATAAAATTCTATCTTTTAGAATATTTCAATTACAATATTCTATATTTTATATAGATAATATTCTAATATAATTTTATAATCTTATATATAGTGAAACCAGGTTATGGAGTTGAGTATGATTATATTGATCCAAGAGAATTAAATGTTACACTAGAAACCAAAAAAGTTTCAGGATTATTTCTTGCTGGACAGATAAATGGTACAACTGGTTATGAAGAAGCTGCTGCACAAGGAATTGTAGCAGGTGTTAATGCAGCAGCTAAGGTTTCTTTTATATTATAGATTTATATATTTATGTATTTATGTTATAGAATTTTTCAATAATAATGAAGAAATTCATTCTTATTTCTTGTTAAATATTTATTTGATAGGTTCTTAATAAAAAGTTATTAATAATAAGTCGAACGGAGGGCTATATCGGTGTTTTGATCGATGATCTTATTACACAAGGAACAAACGAACCGTATAGAATGTTTACTAGTCGAGCTGAATTTCGATTGACTTTACGACCAGATAACGCGGATCAAAGACTTACCAAAAAAGGATATGAAATTGGTTGTGTATCTGAAGAAAGAATGAAAAAAACAGAAATAATTTTATCCAGATTAGAAGAAAGTATACAATTATTTAAAAATGAAATTCATTCAAATTCAAAGTGGAAAAATTTACTCAATTTTAATTATACTAAATGTACTAATGTTAAATCCGCTTTTGATTTGTTACATTATAACATGATATCCATCGATATGATTATTAAAGCGCTTCCGGATCGCTTTGGACATCTTGCGCAGGATTCAATCATTTTAGAAAGATTAAAGGTTTGCAAAAGAAACATATATAAATATTTTTAAACAAATACAAATTATAATTGATTGTTATGATCATAAAATACAGATAGAAGGATTATATGCACCAAACATTGAAGGATTGCAAGAAGAGATCGATGAAATTCGTAAAAACGAACAAATGATCATTCCATCATCTATCGATTATAACATGTAAGTTTAATTTAAGTTGAATATGAAATAAAAATTGATATTTATTAAACATAAATATTTTTTTTAATAATTAAATATATGTTTTAATATAGGCCTCAACTAAATTTATCCCTAGAGGAGAAAGAAAAGTTCTCAGAATTACAACCATATACAGTAAGTATATAAAAGAAAAAAATATTTTGGATAGCATTTTTTCTTATTATCATTGTAACATTATCTAGTATTTTATCTTCTTAGATTGCTGCAGCCACTCGAATTTCAGGGATTACTCCATGTTCTATTTTGCGATTAATACATTATATAAGGAAAAATGAACTTAATATAAAATAAAATATGATAATATATTAATTTAAATAAATAGTTTAACAAATTTTATTTGAAACGAAATGAAAGTATTTATTAAAATCTTGTCTTAAAATCGAAAACAATCCAAATTTTTAAAAAGTTATTCAACCGTTCAATTTATATTGCTAAAAATAAAAAATTTTATTGCCGCCTTGTTTGACCATTAGATATCATAAATCAATTATTATATTATATTCTTAATAGATACTTGAATATTTGATAAAAATCGAATTTGTACGTTTATTCAAACATTGAAACAAATAATTTATAAAATTACTAATATCTTACGTATCAATATAAATTTTGTTTGCATACAATTCGTATTATTTCGAATTTACGCGAAAGAGGCAAAATTCAATTGTAGCTATTTGTAAAATTCTTTCGTTTAATAAGACTAGAATAATTTAACTTACTATGCAGTTGTAGTTTCCGTTTTGGCTAACGTAACTAATGTCTGAGTTACATAACAGGGAAGTTGCTTGATTGAATTAGGAAGGGTTCGTCCAGCTTCAAACTTCTCACTACTAAATTGATGAAGCATACTCAAAGTAAACGTTATTACAAGATTACTAGCGTAATCAATTTATTTGTTGAAAACACGCGGTATTTTCGCGTCGTTTAGAATTTTAGGGAATTTTTAGAGAATTCATGACATTTTATAAAATCGTATAAGACGAGGATTATTTTGATTTATATATGTACATGTATTTCTTTTAAAAATCTTAGGATTAAAAATCTAAGATTCTATTTTTTTAGAGAAAAAATAGAAAATGGAATAACGTATATTAGGGATTTTTACTTCATACTCACATACATATATTATATGTATATATGTGTAATAAATAAAATTGAATTTTAATCCGTTTAATTTTTATCACACGTTCACGCACCGGCATAAATATGTATTCTATTTTAATATATATACATACATATCTTTTTGATATTTCGTAATTATTTTTATATTTTTGTTTTAGTAAACGATAAAATTAGTAAAATATTGGAATCCTGATAAATTTTGCAGACCAAATATAGCCAAGGAAAGCAACTAGTGAGAGAAAAAAAAAGATGTAAGATGGTAAAGATGTAACGTATTTTTAGAAAATTAATTTAATGCTTAAGAGATGACGTTAATTTTCAATTCTTATTCTACTTTATCCTACTTAAAGAGATATCTTGAATAGATTAGAGATGGCGCTGATAGTCAAATCTTATTCTATTTCTGTCCTACTCTCACTATCTTTTATCCTTCTTTTCTCTGTTTCATTTGCGGCACTCTAGAGATGGCGCTGATTTCCATATTTTTAGTTTATCTCTATCCTTTTTCCACTATATTGCTCTCCTTGTTTATACTTTTGGCGCGTGATTATAAACGAGGTACGAGATGTCAATTGAACACACTTTCATCGTTTCTTTATCAAAACTACAATATTTCTTAACCTTCAATGTAAAAAATATGGATTTTTATATTCTCGGTTTAAATTTCGAATGTATATTATATTTATATATTTTTATATATATTATATATATATTTTATATATTTTTTATAATGAGACCTTAAAAAGATAAATATATAAAATGGATAAGTATATCAATTTCAATCATATCAAATAATCAAAAAGCATATCAAGTAATTAAATATTTATAAAAATGATTAAAACAAGTTTAATTCTTGCAAATGTGACAGCATAAAGAGTTAAGTAAGTAAAAGATAAAAATATAAAACAGGTAAATATATCAAGTTCTAGAAAATTTTCACATACCATCTTTTTTCAGATTATATTTCCCTAAAAAATTCTTGCTCCTATATATCTCAAGAATCTGAGAAAAATTTCGTTTTTTTCCAATTATCTCCTAATAAAAAATTGTAAATTCGGACAAAAGTTTTCTCTATCAGAAATTTCGATTTTATATTAGACGAATGTAATCCGAGAAGAGATGGCACACGAAATTTTTCTATTTTCAAGAATAAATATTTTGCACGATTTTTTATAATCTGTAGTATGCATTTATAATCAATATACGAATGTGTACGAATATTTTAATATATGTTCAAAAAAAAAAAAAAAAACGATTTCTAATGTATATGAACAGGGTTAGGATTATTGGATAATAAATCGAAAAAATTCGAAATGGAAACAGAAAGTGTACTAACAGTTATCATTTATTACCATTAGTGCGATAGTAAATACTGTTACGATACATTGTACAGGAATGGTGTACGATTGGCCGTAGTACAGGGTCGTTGTAATCATAAATTTCTCTACCATGGTAATCCGACTGTTCTCTCTACACGGTTCTCTAATCGAGCCAAGACGAGCTCGCCACAAACTCGTCTCTAATACTCTCGACGAGTTAATACTATTGTCTCTCGATAATAGCCTCCAAAGAATCAACCTTTCCATCCGATGTAACAGTTTCGATACGATAAAAACAATTCTTTTCGCTGCTCTTTCTCCCTACATCGCGGTAAAAAATATACAAAAAGTGACGAACTATTTTGGCCAAATTTACGAAATCATTCGCCTCGCCAAGAATCCAATATCGAGTCGAGTATTGAATCAAGTATTATAATCAACAACGCATTTTTTTTTTTTTTTTTTTTCAATTCCAACATCTTTTATCGATAAAAAAGTTTCAAAGACTTTCCAATATATTCAACTGGTCACGATTGCGCATACCGAATGCGTTTCACCGCGACTTGGAACGTCCTCGATGTTAAATTCAACATTGGATTTTCCGCGCTGCGAATGCACGCACGTAAATTACGCGAAGGCACGCGGTCCTCAATAAGCGTCTCTCTCTCCATTTGATCGCGAGGATTTTCTCCCGTAACGATCGCAACGGTCGTTATCTCTTTTCGACGTTCTCCTTTCGTGCCCTCGTCGTGATTCACGTGTTCTCTTCTTAATTCTACCTCTCTATACTGGCAAGCTACCGTATACCGTATATATATATATATATACATATATACGTTCTTTACGTGTATTTATGTATGTGTATACTATATATATTATACGTTCCTCTTATTGTTCATACGCCAACAATGACTACTCCGAATAAATTAATTTTAAGGCTACGTTGTTCCTCTTATCTCGTATATTATCTTAACTACGTAACGAACTATCATTGAATATCATACGTTGAATGTTAAATTAATGTACATCGAAATCCGTCTTACGATCATGGCTTACGTAGAACGCGATTTTCATAATAATTGCTCGCATATATTTTTCTTTTCTTACGCGACGGATACGAATAATAACTTAATATACGTATCTACTCTACTTACTTATAATTAACATTTTAACATAATGACGGGAGAAATGTTATCTACACGAGGAGATGCAATAGGGGAGGCAACCGAAAGACAGCGTAACAGCGTTTGACGACGCTGACAACAATCGTCGATTGGCCGAGAATTCTATATGCAATTGATCTTTGAACGTTCGAATCGATCCAGATATAACGCGAAATAAAACGACGGCCTAGTTCGTTCTTGCGACGATACATTATTGGACAGAATGGAAATTTTACAATTGTCGTCGGCTCGTTACGCCCGCCATCAGCGATTATACACAGCAAGGGATTTATAACAAAGTTAATGCTCGTTAATGCGCTAATTACACTGTGCCGTTCACACGCTCGCATTGACACGCAATTATTCGATATGTGCACGCATGCACGACACGCACGCTACGTGGACGCGAATGTTGACGAGGTATCGTACCATCTCCCATTTCTCCCATTACTCGAAAAAGTTCGAAACTTCGACAACTTGGCGTTCCACTCCCCCATCCATACAACGAGAAAAGGAACTAATATGATTTTAGAGAAACTATCCGTCCCTCTGCGTTTCAAGATCCATCGTACGGGTTTGACGACAAAGCAACAGTGCACGAAACGAAAAGATTCGTATTTTAGATTAATTATTATCGAGGAAACGAAGGCAGGGAGTGTTATACGTAGGATTTGATACTACCGATTCAGAAGTAAGTTCGTATTTGGAAAACATTGTCGAGTATCTTCGCGGAGAGTTCGGATAGTTTCGGTTTAACGTGAGCGAAGGGTACATGGCTCAGTCTCTTGAATGCACCTGAAGAAACAATGACGATGATTACTCTACTCTCGTTCACGTGTCGAGAAACTACGCGAACGTGCGGTCTAAAGAATAGCAAACTCGAGTGCGAGGTACCTAACTCTACGTGAGACGGTTTTTATGCGGTGCGTTCTATCGCACCCGGCGATTTCCCATGACATTCGTATTGCTTTTCGAAAACCAAAGTAATAACGCAAAAGAATATATATTGGTGTTCTGGAAAAGATTAAAAAAGGAAAAAGTGGATTATACATTGATGATTAAAATAAAATGGACTAATGTACAACTATATGTATAATTCGAAGAGATAAGCTAGAACTTAAACTCTAAATATTTGAATAAAAGCTTAAGAATAATATAAATAATGGATAGATTATTATATTATATGAATTTACCAGATTCATATAAATGAAGTTCTATCGTTATCGATGCTTCGCTTCTTCGTATAGAATAGCAAGTGTAATTAATTAATTAATTCATGATCACAAGTTGAATGAATCTGTGGAGGAATGTCATCGGAAGTTACGCCGGAAATCGCGTGGAGAAATAGCAATCTCGCGTTGTACACGCGATGAGAGGAGAACCGACAAGGACTTCGTACGGTCTCCGCTTGTTTCTCCATTGTATACAATTCGGCACGTTGAACACCATGTTTGGAAGGCATTTCAGAAGGCATTGAATTCCTAATGTGTATTGTCACGAGTTGTCGTCCATTATGCCCTGACCTACCTACGTTTGACTTCGTGAAAGCGTGACTAATCCGTTTAAAAAAAAAAAAAAAAAAGAAAAAAAAAGGAATCCTCATTGGCGATCATTCAAATTTAATCGATAATTTCTTCAACTCTTTTTCAACTCGATCTCTATCCCCGTATAAGTATCATCTATATAAAAAATCATGTTCATGCGGTATCAAAGTATAAAAAAAGAATATATATCGTTTTTTCTAAGCGAAACGAACGAACATGTTCGTTGTGCTTACAATCGACGTAGCGTAGTGTAAACGTTTATCAAAATTTTTCGCAACTCGATTTGAAAAAAAATCCGTTGCTTCGAGTCTTCTCGTTGAAATTTGAATTCTGTGGCAGTGAGAATACTTTCCTTCGAGTCCCTTTCATAATAAATTCTTTCATAGTCCGTTGCCGAGATACTGTGATCCAAAGGAGGTTACGAACTGTACAGATGGACGAGAGTAAATCTGAGAATGTCTCTGGATATAAAAAAAGAAATAAAACAATTGGAAGAGTTTAATCAGAGAAAATGACGCGCGACCGAAATGAACGACGTTATAAGACTTCGAATTCAACGCGTTAAATGGTAGCCACGATGGGCCACGGTGCCAATGCAAATTTATGCTAAAGGAAATTGAAGAGCGATCGCTCGTGGCTCCAGGCACGCTCGATGAATAACGAAGCGGGGCGAGCCTTAGAAGAAAGTACGGAATTCATCGTTCGTCCTTTCTCGACACACCGTGGTTGCAAACACGGGTCAAGGCCATCCACGTTCAATTTCACGATCGAGCGAGTCGCGTTCATCGTTCGCTCACAAATCGAAATTTTCTCTCTATTGTTCATCGTAATTAAATTTTTCTAAAATCATCCACGTTACACCTCTGAGAATCGCGGAAATTGAAACAGGCCATGGCGCGAAAGTGCCATCGAGTCGTCGCGTAAAACCAAAGCGAACTTGACGAGAGACTCCTTTCGATCTCGAGATATATTAATATCGATGATCCCTTATTGTCGCGAGGGGAACAAAAATTCGACCGTAATCGCGGTCGATCTCGTTGCACTTGCCTGGCGCCACTTATTAATATCGAAACAGCGCGTCTCGTATCGGCCACACATCATCTCGTTAACTTCGTTCATCTGCACGTAATCGAAGTAATCGGTTGATCGTAACACGTGATAAATCATTGTGTAATCTATGATAAATCGTTCTCGTTTCGCATTTCAGTTTACAACCTCCTTTTTGAACTCTCTCTCTCTCTTTTTTTTTTTTTTTCGATTAAAAATGAATATTGGCCGATTATCAATGACGTGAACGATTCTATATCTGTGCTCGATATTTTTCAATCGAAAAAATAAGGAGACATGCATTATATGCGTTACATTCGTACACTCGTTTCCACATCGCGCGAATGATAAGAAAAAAAAAAGAAAATGAACGAATACAAATATTAATATCGACCAACACAATCGCGACCAACATTTCATTTTTTAATCGGACGATAACAATGTGAAAAGTCTTAGAATTACCGTGGACAACGGACTCTCGCGTCAGAGAGTCATTCGCTCATTGTAACGAGAAGGCAAAATCCAGAGAAGATTGATTCAAACTACAAATTGCGACGACATCTGGCCAGGATCTGACGCGAGCGAAAGGTGGGGGCGTAAGTAGCGAGGAACGTGGTTCTCTCTCTCGAGGTAACTCGAACCGGGACGGGTCTTCTCTATGAATATTTGTCGCGTTGTTTTCTCCGCTCTCCATTGTGCTGCTCCCTGTCGCGACAATGAACTATTCAGAGTGACAGTGCTCGCGCGTTATGGCCGCTTTCCACCTAGCCCACGGGGGACACACACCGACCGCGGCCGACGTCACACGCGTGCTTCTTCGCGATCGTGTATCGCCGAGGTTGACGACCTCGAAGAGGAAAGACGAGAGAAGAGAAGAGAAGAGAAAAGAAGTTTGAGAACGCGAATGGAACCAGGGCCTACTTCGCGGCCAGACGATCCTCGTGGAACGGGTGTCGTCGTGTCGAGAAGCGGTCGAGGGGATCGAGGAAGTCGAGGCTTTTTTTCCAAGTTCAAGGTCTCGAGGTCGTCGAACCTTTAACACCAACTTCTGTCCCCTTTCGAAGTGACCTTAAGGAGGAAATCGTCCTTACGGCTCAACGCTGCTTTTCACTTCTTTCACAGCGGATATCAACCCTTTTTTTTTTTCTTTTCAAATATAACATAATATCTGTAACGCGTTACGTTCACCCAACGTAATTGGAAATTATTTAATATTTAATAGAAGGGGAAACCAAGCGTTTTCTTTTGGTCGATACTCAAGTAAATCAATCGAGCACGATCCTCCTCTGTATCGTTTTACATCGCGACGACTTTAATCCGAATCTAATTAATTCTGCTTCTTGGTACCGATCTATCAATGGTTGGACGTTTCGCACGCTGATCGCTTCGTATACAATGTTCTTCCGCTCGATCGACTTCCGCGTCTGTTCAACGTGTTTCGAGCAGGCGCCGCTTCCCGTCCACCGAAATTCCGCGTTCGTGGATAAACGTGGACGATGGTGGAGCGACGATCTCCGAAGCGTGGAGGTGAACGCGGCACCGGTCGGAGGAAGTCGCTTAGCAGATGGTTTCCAGCGGGGCGGTCTTCGTGCTCGGATTCTGAATGACGCTGTCGCCCATGCTGGGCATCCCGTGACTGGTAGTGCTCAGCCCGTTTCCCTGCCTTCCAGCGTTCGTCCTCGGGTTCCTGTTGCAGATCCTCTTCAACGCGGCGCGGACCTGGGGCTGGCAGCCAACCACCGCGAAGATTAGCACTCCCTGGAACGCGTTTATCATGTCGGTGAAGTACCAGATGTATTGAGGGCCACCGACCGCCCACGAGACGACGTCGGCCACCCAGGTGACGCCCATCACGACCACCAGCTTCATGCACACGCGGCCTAATGCGGCTCTGGAAACAGAAACATCAGGGTCTTGGTCATTCGTACGACGAGAGGACGACATCTCCTATCCCATCCTCGGACGGATTATGATCTATTAAGGGAACGAGAAGCAGGAGGAGGAGGGTCTATTAAGGTTTAAGCAGGTTTGTCGATGGTCTGGTGATAAGTTAATTGGTTAGAAGCAATCGTACGAGAGGATACGGGTTGCTCGCCTTGCTCCAGACTTCGGAAAGAGAGTAGCCAAGGCGTTTATAATACTTGCGCGTGAAAGGAATTTTTTTTTGGAGAAGCTTGATTTATCATTGTCGGGTTATTGTCTGTGTGAAAGTTCAAAGGAAGGGAATTCGGAAGGCAGCGATTCAGGGAGACATCTATGGGAGACACTTGTGCAACAAAATTCTATTCTATATCTTTTCACGCGCAATTTCGAGAGAGGAGCGTTATTTTTCACGTTTTATAACGCGAACGTTTCTCGGCCAACGGTACCACGACGAATTTCCGGCGACAAAAAGCGACCCGATTCAATTAGCGCGGTGTTCAATTACGACGGGCATAAATCAGGCCGCAAACGTATCCGTTTGTACGGCGTGACACACGTTGCGCGGTAATGTATGCATCGCATTGTGACCAAAGTCAAAGCATTATTAATTCGTTCCGGCTGAGCATTCGCACCAAGTTACATTAGTGTCGGGTCGCGAAATTATAGTGTTATTATCGTAAAGGCCATCCAGTCCTCTTTTTCCCTCGATCGTGCGCGATTTTAAATGCTCGATCCTTTTATATCTCGTTACCTCATTTACCGAATTTTTATATTCGTAACGCGTCGAGGTGGAAAAAAAAAAAAAATTTCACTCTAAGAATAATAAAAGTTTTCGCAAGGAATCTGTAAAAAAAAATATTTTTATCGTTGATTTTCTCTCTCTCTCTTTTTTTTTTTTTTTACCATCGACTCGATTAGCGGCAATGCAGCAAAATTGGCCGCGGAATCGGGTCGCGGAGTCGAGTTTTCACGCGACGAGCGGAACTTTCTCACCAGTTTTCCTCGCTTACCTCTCCGCTCTTACGTCGTGGTTGGTCGCCGCGTTATTTTCGGCCCACCACCGGTTGGAAGCCGCGCATGTTCGCATGTTACCCGCTCGTAACAATTAGACGACGCGGCGAAAATAGAAGATCTCTGTATCCAGCTATTACGGGGAAACCACGCGGCCGTGTTGCGTATATATCGCGATAATTACGGTTTAATATGCGGTTAAAATAATAAAAAAAAGAAAGGAAGAAAGAAAGGAAGAAAGAAAGAAGAAACAAGCACAGCGTTTTATGGAACATTGATCTAAAAGATGATTACACAGCATCTTGTTTGAAATCATTTATACGTTTTATAATTAAATTTATCCTTCACACCATCTTATTTGAAATTGATTGATTGTTTGCATCCGAGTAATAATCGTTCGAGGATAAACCTTACATTAATAAATTAAATTTATTCTTCATAAATTAAATATATATACGAACTTAATTATTACTAAAAATTATTATATATCTACGATCTATTATCTTGTTCGAAATAGGATTAGCAATCGTTTCTTTCTCTACGTCTTTTTTTTTTTTTTTAATCCAATTAAATTTCAACAAAACGTACTATTCACTTTTAAACGTACATCACGAAAACAAACAAATTAAACGCAATAAAATACTTTACAGCGTTAAAGACAAATCCTACAACAATAACAAGTGCAAAATTATTCATCTTTCAAATTACAAATATACAAGAGTGGCCGTGGACAGTTGACAACGGTGCTGGACGGGGGGCTAATGGAAATATCGTCGGGATTCCGTCATCAATGATGCAAGGCTTTTATTATCGATCCACCGTTATGCCGCCGGTATAGGTCTGTCGGATATTATTCGGTTTGAAAATTTTATCGGTTCTGGTACGGTTAAAAAATTCAACGCCGCGCATCGATGCCTCCGAATCCGAAACAGCAAAAATACAAACAGCAATGGGTTATTGCTTTGCACATGGAGAATGGACGTGGAGAATTCCGCCGGTTAATCATAATCCATGGAAAGCAAATTAGACGCGCGATCACGAAGCCGGAATGTGAACTCGCGCGTGCAGGATGAGCCTTCTCTCTCCTTTCTTTCTTGCTTGCTTTGTGGAGGGGGCGAGGAAACGCGTGATAAGCATGAGACTCCGTCCGACCAAGGAATGCAAACAAACGGTCGATCACCTGTATGAGAACAGCTGCGGCTAGAGAGGATAGCCGATACAAACGAACGCTTGAAAGAGGAAGGTGAAGGAGAGGAAAAAATATTCGATCGATCGAACACCGTGAAATCGATTTTGTACGACGAAGGGAGCATAAAGGGCGGTTAATGATCGAATTTTAAGTAGGAGAAGGAAAGGAAACGTGTACGAAATCGTGCGAGATGACTGCGTATTATGTAAATCGCGTAGAAAGGGAGTATACTTGTCCTCGAGGCTAATTTAAAAATTACTTTAAAATTATATATCGATAAGTGTCTATTTCGTAAAATAGCGTATTCCTGTGAAACGTAAAATATGGTAAAAAAGTTAATAACACCAAGCAATTTTGTCTTTATTATTTTTTTATTTTGTCTTTATTATTTATTATATATTTTGTCTTATTTTTAACAAAGATATCGCCTTCAGGAAGCAATCAGAGGGATTAAATCATATAATTTGCTTTTTGTAAAACATCGAATTTAAATGAAAAAAAAAAAAAAAGAAAGATCGCGAATCAACTTGTTTCGTTTAACATTTAACATATTACGATAATTTTTATTTGCAGCATGAACGAATTCGTATAAGCAGAATACACGATTTTATAATGTAATTTTCTCTTTTATTTCACTTTTATGGAGGATAGAAACGCTTCCTGTTTACGATATTCCTGATTTACTATCTATTTGGATCTTGGACAAAGTAAACAGTTTAAAGTTTATATCATCACTTGTAACTTACTGCTCGTTATATTTAGAGAATTGCAACTGCAAGGATCGGTCCTGGCATATTTCTAAGAAAATTTCACGAGAGAGAAAGAGAAAAAGAGACGAGGAATCGAGAAGAGGAATTTTTCGAAAAAAAGGGGATGATGGATCCACGCCCGACGAATGAACGAAGAGAAAAAGCGAAGCAAAGTATTATTCGTAGCCCCGTTCATAATTTTGTTCGACGCTTCAAATTAATTAATGCCACGTTTCGCCGCGTTTCGAAAGAAGGCAGGATCGCGGATCTACCGACGTGTTAATTGACGCAACGAGACAGAGGGGATGGATATGGATTGTTAGCGATGTCCGTCTCAGAACAGAAAATATCGACAGCATTAATAACACACAAAAAAAAAAAAAAAAAAAAAAAAAAGAAAAAAGTGAGAAAGAAGAAGCGAAAGAAAGGAAAATATCGATGCTTCGATCGCTCGTTACACTCTCGTGAAACGAGTTTAACGAGAAACGTTTCGTCTGGACGTTTCGTTTTATTATCATCACGGATGTTCTTTATTATAATTATCGCGGAATAATGAAGAAGAAAGAGGAAACACGTTCAATCCGTGACGATTGCAATTTGCGAGAAAACTTTGTGGCTGCATCGTGGAGAACATCGCCGCACGGAATCGAGTTTAGCTTAATGGATTAACGGATCAAACGGGATTAATTAGTTCCAACTCCCTTCCTACGAGTTTCAAGTATTCTTAGATCGATGCGAAACAATAGACGTTTGTCCACAAATCGTGATCGACATCCTATCATCACAACTTCGAATCGAAGATCGTATCGTGTTTTAATTTTAAGAATTATAATCTAAGATAAAAAGAAATAATAAGCAAAAATATGAGAAGTGACTCAGAAGAGAAATCGTAGGGCACGAGAAAAATCGCCATGCACGTGATACCATGGTCATAAAATCGTAAATTCATTTCTTATATTCTGAAAGGAATTAGTGGTCAAAGTTCAAAAGTGAATCAATATACAAGATTTTTACTCGCCTCCGTTTTCTCTGAAGGCTGACAAAAACGTAAGTCTCTACTTTACGATCTTACGTCTCTTATACGATGCGAAGACGAATTCGAGAAAGAGAAATAATTCGACGAGAGATGAAAGAGGAGGAAGAAGGGGAGAAGGAGGGGCGGAGGAACGTAAAATGCAATCATGGCGACCGCATCTGTCCGGCTGACGGTTATAGCGCGTGTTTTATCACGTTTATTCAACCGGTAACCTTGTCGCTCCTGGGTCGAGCATAATTCAAAAGGGATTCCTCCTTTTCTTCTTCTTGCGCCTTCTTTGAGCGGCGCGATACTACACCGCCGCCGAACTTTATTTGCGACCCGTTTATTTTGGCAGTGACGCCCAGTTTTAAATCGCGAACAGATAGACCACAGGCGACGCCGACCATTCACTGAACGTTTCGTGAATGAACGTAATTTTCTTTTTTCAATGAAAGATCTTTTTTTCTTTTGGAATTTGGAAGATTGCTCGAGCAGCCGGTATTAATATTGTTTTTATTCAATGAAATGTTTTACGCATAATCAGAGCTTTTTTTCTTCTTCTTCTTCTTTTCATTTTTATGCGCTTTTAGAATTTTATGATTTAATTTTATTGGAACATATCGTTAGAAAATGATTGTAGAAAGTTTAGAGAAATGGCTTCGAGTATTTGTGTATCTATTTCTATTCGAGTTTCTATTTTCATTTTCTCGCGATTCAACATCGAATATTTTTTAAATATACCGCTGTGAAGTTTGCTTCAACATAGATCCGTGCATTAACCTTGACAGAAATCACAGGCGTTCCTATTTTTACGTCTGATATTTATTTTCGTACTCTAAAAAAGTTTTCATTTGTTCGTTTTCTATTGTACATTCGTGAATTCATTCGAAATTCGTTTTTTATTCGAATTAAAAAACGAAAGATATTATTGTTCATCGAAACGACACAAGCCTCACGTCAAAAACGTGTAAAAATTGAAGTTTCACAATTCATTTTCTCGAGCCATTTTCTTGAAACGTTTCAAATTTTATTCCCTCGAAATCGAAACGAAGCATCACCTGACCAATTTTTCAAAATCTCTCGAATTTTACATAGAAACTAATAAAATATAGCAAACTAATCGCATCGAAGATCAACAAATATTTTTCAACGATATTTCCATTCATAATTCAACCGAATAATCCTCCAAATAAAAATCAATAATTCAATTTACTCGCCACTTTCATCAAAAAGTAACCTTTCATCGATCGATAATTTTTCGCACTTAAAAATTCTCTAGAATTCTCTAGATCAAACGTGGAATCGTACGATCCAGGGGGGGATAAACCATAACTTTTTCACCCCTTGCATCGCAACACCGAACAGGTTCGAATATTCGAATTATGCTTAATGGGTGGCGGACGAAAAAGAGCATCATGCTTCTCGAAAATTACGAACAGAGTATGGACACAGAAAGAAAGAAAGAGAGAAAAAGAGAGATATATATATATAGAAGAAATAAAGAAAATGGAACGCGAGAGAATCTCTATCCGCCATTATGGTCGGCGCGTGTCCCTCTGTCTGCCTCCGCAGACAGGGATCGAAAAGAGTGAAGGGGGGAGGCATGGCCGAAAGAGAATCGCAAATTGAGATCGTCAATATCAATTTCGACGGGACGAGGGAGCAAAGGTGGTTCGAAGGGACGGCGTACGAATGGAAAATAACGATTCGATGCCTGATATCTGTCGGCGCGGCCGTGATAAAATAAATTCTCCTTTGAACCCCCTCTGGAAAAAAAGTCGTCGGTTGCCAGGCATAAATATCCGAAAAAAAAAAAAAAAAAGAAAAGAAAAAAAAATGTGATTCGTCAAACGATGTTGGTCGCCTTGTATCAAAAGACAAGGACAGGAAACGTGATATTTTCACGTCCGGTTGGACATTTTCCTCAAAGAATCGAGAGATTTATCTGGCCCATCCGTTCTTCCAGTTTCTCCGAAACTCATCCACGTTTTCGTGATTACGTTATCAAAATGATAATATTTGTTTGTATATAGTATATCGAAATTTTATTTAAATTCGTATTTAAATTCTTTTCAAAAGAAATCGACTCCAATTCTTCCTTTACGTCTTCCCTCTTTTTATTAGTAAATACGATTTCGTCTAAGGAAACTCGTCGATTCCCAATAAAACAGCTCGTTTATTTCCTTCGAATTCCAATCGAAAGTGGAAACGGTCGTAAATACCCATTCCGTCGAAATGAAACATCTTTGCGAGATTTAGAAAAAGAAATCCTATTTATCATCTTATTATTCTATCTACTTCTTATGTATCACTATATGCATATCCTCATATTAAATATATTAAATCCTCAACCATGTGCAACCTTCTCCAAACCCTATTCCCAAAACTAGATCCTTCCACCCTTCCGCATATATATAATACTTTTCACTTTCCAAGTTTTCAAAATCTTACTTTCCCTCGACGTGGGAAAATTTGACAAAATATTCGATCGAAGCTCGTAATAACGAGCGTTCGCTGATCTCTGATGATTATATTCGCTGGTTCCGTTGGAACCAGTTATCCTTGATCTTTATCGAACCTCGAACCTCCGTCCTTCGAGCCGAAATAAAGCATCGTGCGCCATCCCACGACCAATAAAAGCCCCCATATTCCGCCTGTTTCTCTACCGCCTGTTCCTGTGTTAATCGTTCCTGCGTATCGCCCCCTCCTCCACCACTCCCGTGCAAACAAACTTCTTTGACCTCGCGCTATTGCAGCTTTTAAACTTCTCGAAGTTTAGCACCGCGTAATCGTTTCGCTGTTCAACTTTTCAGAGGCTAGGTTGCGATGATTAGCGAACACTCGCGTTTCCCAAGTGGTGGGATTTCTCCCTCGGTTTATTAACTATCTCTCGGTGACCGAGAGAGACCATAGCATTGGTCCGGATGGGAGATCAGGGCTCGAGATAATTCGGGTTCTCAGGGTTGGCTATTATATCGGATTTAAAGTAGCCGAGGAAAGTTTTAGGGTATCAAACGCGATCTAGATCTTCCGTAAACGCATCGCGGCCTAATGGCGAGAAACTCGGAGGAAACTGAAAATAACTTGGACTTGTATCCGGGTCTTGCGCGTGCGTAGCGATGGGATCGAGCTCGTTGCAAGTCCGAATTTAATTGGAAAATCGTTTCGTTTTCGTTTTTTTTTTTTTTTTTTTGGAATCGATCTCTATGTCATCTTACCTAAAGCTAGTTAAAAAGACGAGAACACTGATAAATTCTAAAATGATAATAGATGTATAAAATATAAAATGTAAATTTGGATAATTTTTGTAACAATACGAAGCATCGTCTCTGACGAATAATGATCGAATTCCACGAATATCTTAAATTAAATTTGAACTGATTTTTGACTTGAAGTTTACGAGTTGATCCTATCATCGCTATCGATGAAACCGACGAAACTTTCCACGACGATGCTCTCGATTTCGAAAGCTGTGAGATCGTTGATTCTTCTTCTTCCCTTCCCAAATTATTTTTTGAAAAAAAAAAAAAAAAAAAGAAAAAAAAAGGAAGAAAAGATAAAAATCTGGAAACATTCGTGGAAAAAAAAATTCGCCAAATATTTATACGCGAAAAGAAGACCGCGTGGCTGTTGGCGAGAAACAGAATACGTTTACGAATTCGCTCGGAAAGCTTTCGAGTAAATATTTCTTTTTCCCTTGTGGATACGGTTGGGAACAGTCATATCCACGTCGGTGTGCAGCAACAACCGGCCGGAACTGTGGAGGAACCAGCGGGGTAAACCACGGGATCGAAACTTAATTTAGAGGTGGTGGAGATTCTTGGAGACAGTCGTACCTCGATCGATCCGGAAAAATTCACTTACCGTTCCGTGGTGCTTTTCACGAATTCGCCTTTCCATAGACCGCACGTCAGCTCGCGGGCGGTTGCTGCGAAAAACAGAAGATTGACAGCGAGCAAGAAGCCGATGGGGCCGAAGAAGTATGCCAAGATTGCCATGTCATCTGGAAAATATATTTTCTCTCGTTTAAAAATCGTTCAATCAATAATTATTTTTAATATCCATCGCTAAAGATAAATAAATACGATGGTATTAATAAATTGAATTAAAAAGAAAAAAATACAAATACAAATTACACGGATATCCAGAAAATTTTAATTTTTTAAAATTTTAATCAAAAATCTAAAAAAAAAAAAAAAAAAAGAAAAATATCAGGTAAGAAGTATCAATTTAAATTTTCTCGTTTCATCGATTACTACTAAAAGACATAAAAATCCTTTCGTCAAAATATTAATATTATATTCGTAAGAGATGGAAGTCGAATTATATTTTTATTAGAGAATTAAACAAATCTCGTCGCGCTTTGGTATATAATAAAACGATAAATTCTCCTATCTAAAATCTATCTAAAATTCGCCGGATATTATTGATGCGAACAGCTGGAGTGGCGAGGAACAACTCAGACCTGGAAACGCTCTAAATATCTGGATGTTCGCCCCGAGTCCGACTACGTGTTCAATAATAAACGTTTGGATCGCTTGAATGGCGAATCAGTTTATCTTTACGACCTCCGATTCAACGTCGGCGTTGCGGTTCGATTCATACTCATCCTCGGGAACGAGGGAACGCGAGAGAGCTACTCTTCAACCGGAACTCGAAGGAAGGCCGACCACCATTAACGATTAAACTATTACGCGAAATGCTTGTATCGGGTGAACGACTTGGTTAGAGTGGCTAGTTTGCCGTGCTTTTCTTGTTGCGTTTTGTTGCGGCTTATCAGAGTACGTGGAACGCGTTTTAAACTCGTTGCTTTAAAAAAGTCTAGAAAGCATTCAAGTATTCGAGCAGTTTTTTTTTTTTTTTTTTTTTTATAAAAAGAACAGAAGAGCTTGTTGTCGAGACGTATCGAGATGAGAAATTGTTTTTATTTTTTTAAAAATTATGATTATATCGTTCGTTCATATTATAATTTTGCGAGGAGAAAATTTTACTCGTTGAAGAATACGATACGTAGCATTAAACAGGCAGAAATCGTTTCAACGGGTTCAGATAATCATACGAACGTTTAATATTTATATTTTCCCTTTAAATCACTCCTACCATTTTTTTTTCTTTCTCTTAAAATAATTCTTCTTCGTTATATATTTCTTTCGTTTATCCAAGTTTTAAGGTCGAGAAGGATTTATTAACTCAGAATCCAGCAACAAGATTTCAACAAGAGCGCAAATTCCATTCGAATCCATCGATCCAAATTGAAAAATTGTATACGACTGGACGGAACAGATATCCACCAGATGTTATTAGCGTGTAAAGCAACGGTAAAAACACGTAGGTAGTTGGTTCGATGTCCACGAGTCCAAGGACGGATTCCTTCGAAAATAAAAAAAAGAAGAAGAAGAAGAAAAAAAATAGGAAGTTGGATAGACGAAGAAATTCTTTCCAACAGAAATTTTATCCGGAAAATCCATCGATGTATAGGAAACGAATTCGAGGAAATGGATTCCGAAACTAGAAGCAGAATATCGATAATCGATGACAGGCAAATAAATCCCATGACGATCGTGCTCGCGATTTCACGAATTCCACGATACTCCTTCCGATCCTCGGCCTTCTATTCCCAGAATCACTGTAACTCGCTCGTCACGGATCGACCAATTTCTAAACCGCTTTGTTGCGCAAGTCCCTATTTTTGTTCCTGACCCGACAGCTTTATTTTCGCGTTTCTAAACGGGGTGAATCGAAACACGGAGACAACATCGCCGAAATTTCACTGTCTTCGCTTGTCAAGCTTCGAGTTTGGTTCAATCGTTCGTGGAAGCAATCGCAGCTCATCGCATTTCGAATTCAAAACGCTTAAAAAAACGTTCCAATTTCCATCGTTAAATATACCGTCCATTAATAAAAACAACGACAGAATGACAAGAATGTCCTATATATTATTCGAAAAATTTCATCTACGCTTCCCAACTATTCCTGAAGTGATGAGAGAGAAAAAAAAAAAAATAGAGAACCTCGAAAGAATAGAGCGCAAGGAGAAGCGGGGATGGAGGGGATGAAAACACGACAAAAATGTGAGAGCCGCAAATAGATCGATAATTCATAGAGGCCGATATAAATCGGTGGGGTCGGTCCCTCGCTGACAGGGACAGTTTGTTTTTCCATCGTAGTTCCACGCCGTTCGAAAAGATGCTCAAAGGAAATGATCGTGCGTCGTCACCATTTGCTTGTCGTCTAAATGGTATGGCTACGATGCCGCTACTCGTTCATTCATCTCCGCGATATTATTACACCGCGATATTATTTTTCACATTCGACTCGATTCCGCGCGCACACGAGGAGAACGATTTGGGGATCGATTTGTTGAAGGGATCGAACGAACGAGCCATCGGGCCGTGTGTATTTTAATTACTTTGCCCGATATTTTCAATATTCCACGTATGGACGTCGTTAATTGGATCCATTTGTTTCCCTTTTTGAAGATCCGATTACGAGCGGTACTGGGTTTTCGGATATTTCTCGCGGTTACGCTTTCGCTCTGCTCCCCTCCCCCCTCCCTCTTGTGTCATTATTCTCCGCAATTTCGATCCTCCGCTTCGTTACCGGGTCCGCTCGTTATCCGGATCGATACGACTTCGTCGATACGAAAATCGTACGAGATCTCGAACGAGGTTACTATCCTCCAACATCTGTTCCTACGTTCCAACTGTTTCCTCTCGCGAAACGATTTGATTATCGTTGATTCGCCGCTTGCCGCTTCTCCGTTCTGACGGTGAACGTTCGCTCTTTTCGTTTCGATGACCTAATTTTTTTTTTTTTTTTAAACGCGTATAATTATGTACGAGATTATTACAAGTCGTTTCGATATGATCGTAATGGATTTCTTTAATTTCGTTTAGAATGTCGCATCGATAAAAATGGATAAAAAGCAAGCATTTCGAGTTTTCGATCGATAATTCTTTGTTTAGAATTATTGGAATTGCAAAACTCTCCTCTTTTTTTTTTTCCTCTTTCGAATTTCAATATAGATAATTGGTAAACGTTTAAAATTTGTTGAAAAATTATTCATAATGTAATTGAATGTTACGAAAATGCGACAACTAAATTCGACATTAAAGAATTGCGATCACCCCCTCTAGTTCCTTAATCCATCATCTCAAACCTATCATCTTTTTAAAATGAAATTACGTACTCGGCGATAGTCTTCCAAGTAATTTAGCAAAATAACCTTCGTCAAGCCAATTTTCCCTTAAGAGAGAAGTGTCGAAAATTGCCGGTTATTAATCTTTAACCACCCCGAATAATCGCAATCAAAAAACACGTTCAATTTATGCGCCCAACCACGATATCCAACCATCCAGAAAAAGGGTCACGAAACCGGCTTCTGTTCCTTTCATTCCCTTCCAACGATTTAATCGTTTCTCTTTTCCCTCCCGTGGAGGGGGACGCAACACGGTGAAAATCTGCAGGAACCTGAACGGATCGAATAATGAAAGTCACGGCACGCGAGACACGATCCCCCCGAAATTACGGTGGATCACGTGAGCCCAGAGGAAGCGAGAGGAAAGCGTGCATGCGTGCGTGTCTGAATCCCGAAATCCCAGGAATTCCTAGTAACACCTATGAATATGAATACGTCTCGTCCTCGAAGCAACGCATCGTTCGAGTTTTCGTGAACCGCCACGTCCCTCCGGCCAATCCATTTAAACGTATATATATCGAAGCGGAGGGAAGCGCGGATAACTAGTTTCCGAGTAAATTGATACGTTGGCGTTCGCCATTTTTTTCGCCATGTTTTCATGCGCGTGTACCCTCGCGGCGTGCCTTTTTTCTCGATAGTTATAATCCAGCAGGACAATTACTCGGTCGATAAGTAATTGCACCCCTTATCGCGCAACCCGCTTTTAACTATGGAGGAAGAAAGTTTCGCTTCCTTTTTTTTTTTTTTTTCGTTTTTCGTTTCTTTTTCCTTCTTTTTTTGTATTTTCTTCGGTCCGCCCCTCGACGGAGAGAAATGCAGCAACGCGTCGAGTTATATTACTACGCGGGAAGGGGGAGAGAAAAAAGAACTTGCGATTCGAGGAAACAGAGGGTGAGAGTTTTACCGATTTTACCGATCATCAACCTCCTCGTTTCGGTAGAGCGGCCGATCCGCGCGCTAAACGCTCTTCCATTCGCGCCTCTGTGCCGAGGATCGTTGCGCTTTTATCGAGCTCGCGTCGGCGAACGCGATACAAAAAATGTCCCTGGTGTGCCATCCCTTCCCGCCACCCCTTGCGGTCACCCTCTGTGAACCGTGCGTCGCTGAACGAATAAAGAATACAGTTTTTTCTCTCTCTTCCTTTTTTTCACGTTGGTGTACTGATCCTGGTATTCCTCCTCTTCCCTCCTTTTTTTTTTTATACCGAGAAAAATGGCTCTATTAACGGTATCGGTGGTTAGTAATTGGACGGTTTGTCATGCGAGCGATAATAAAATTTTAGCCACGGCCGCGCGAAATCCATTCAGCTCGGGCAGCGGCCAGGTCGAGTTTTATGGTAAATAAAGAACGATCCGAGGCTTGGACCCCGTTATCGGGCCAATTCCCTCTCTGCTAAGCGGTCTGCCTCTCCGCAACCCCCCGTAACCACGCGCGCAATCTGCCAGAAGCACGCTTCCACGAGGGCCCCATACCCACTTATCGGGAGGGAGGGTCGCGCCCGTCCGCAAACAAACTCATAAATAAAATCCTTACAGGCCGCAACTTTCATGGATGGCGCGTCCACGAGGAGCGGAAAAAGGAGAGGAGGGAGGAGAAAGAGGAGGAGGAGGAGAGGGAGGGTTTGATATCGAGGCTGCAGTTGCTGACCCAGTTGCCGCGCCGCGTTAATCCACGATGGTCCACGTGGTGTGAAAGACCGCCTCGAGGATTTGCTCGCTGTCAACGACACGCGAGGGATAAATAAACACGTGTGACACTTGGATCGATCGGTTTTCCACTCTGAACTGGTGGTCCTCCTCCTTTGC